TTTTTATCACATGCAATTATAACTATATTATCTTCTTTTATGTCTTTTAACAAATACACATGTTAATGCCAACTTCATTATTTTGCTGCAACTATATACTTCCCTAATACTATTGTATAATTACTAGCCCTAAATTTTCATAGTCAATTGTACAATTTCCATATAATTTTTATTCCCTTAATCACTATAACAACCAACTTTCCTCATTTAAAAATAATGGAAACTAGACAAAAAAATTTAAAAAATTATTTATTGTAGGGTTGAGCCTACAAAGTTAATTCTAACAAGCCTCTGTAGGGTTGTCTTCTTTGAACATATAAATGAATTCAAACAAGCCCCTGTAGGGTTGTACCACCATTAAAACACCAACATGACAACGCTACACTGCTACTATAAAATGGTATTTGTTGCAGTCATGACTATTTCTATCAATGTTCGTATGGCAAATAACTGATTGAATGAGGATTGTGGTAAATGTTTGGCATAGTTTGAACTGATATCATTGCACAATTATACTTGCAGTGTAGGGTTGTAAATACTACTTGCAGTGTAGGTTGTAATTACTACTTGCAGTGTAGGGTTGTATAATTATAAATTTACTATTATAATTATAAATTATAATAGTAAATTTATAATTATAATAGTAAGTTATGGGCTATAGTGCAATTGATTGTAATGTCACTGGCAATATACACATGTGTCTTGAATTGATGCTTCATATCAATTATTTATAGGGAACATATTGACAATGGAATAAATAACCATATATGCCTATGTTGACAATGGTAATAATAGTATGGTTGTATTGTCAATGCTCACAAAGACCTGTGTCTTGATGGCACATACATTGTGTCATCAATCTATGTGTAAACACTATGTAATACACATGTGTATGTAGGGATGAAGAAATGATGACCATATATGGTTATAAGTTTGCCTGAAAATATATTGAGTGCAACGTACAATACTAATTTAATATGTAATGACTCTGTTCACTGTTCATTTTCAAGTCTATTAACAATAAAAAGAAGAGT